GCAAATAATTTTCAAGTATGGGCCGACGATGTGATGCTGTTATACGTGATAGAGGTGAAAACACTCGTTGACACTCTTGTGTATATTTTCGTCAAGTCTTTTCCAACAATATTTTGTTTGTAATTAACTGTTACGTCAGTCAACCTACGATAATAAGTTGAGACAGTACTACAATTTCTAATAGGTAGGTTAACTCTGAAGATGTTTCATTTTTTTACTTCTCCCCTGGCTACAAATAAAATTGATTCGTTGAAGTTGTGCGTTAATGTCTGGTAGAAGTTTATATATGAATGTGTATAGGTTAACGGTAAAGGAAGGAGAGAGGAAAGAAGTCAGAAGAGAGGAGCGTAAGATTCGGAAAATATTCAATAGAAAAAATCAGTATCAAGCAATTCATTCAGAATGACAAACAAATTGTATTAATTCGAGGATAATAGCTAAACTTGATGAGTGAATAAACCATCAGTATCAATATCCCACCACAATAATAAGAAGTTCAGGTGAGTCGGACAGAAATATAAATGTGTATATTTTAAAACCGAAGGATGCAAGAGTTGTTAAGGGTATGGAATATAAACAAAAAATGGGTCACATAAAAAAGAAGAAGACATGACTTCAAGTAGATACGACTGATGTTCCGAGGTACCTTAAGCAAAATTGAAGTGATTTTATCCTGAAATAATGACAGTGATACTTGAAAATATGATTATGTAGAAGTAGAATGTTATACAGACAATACTTTAGGGGGCATCAAGTTATATTCCTCGACATGAAAAGAGAGGGAATTCATCGACGGGGCTCATGACACGTAGCTGCAGCAGTCGCTGAGGATGACACATCATAAAAAAATTAAATGAAGGCATCATTTATGCCCTAGAATTTGAAGCTGCCAAAAAATGCTTCGCCACAACGAAAAGTTCTAGTGAGGACCATCAATAAAAATGAAGACGAAGGAAAGATCGACTCATGGTAGGTCTGGAAGAACTCTTTGAGAAATATTTGATGAATGTGACTTCAGCTAAGGCAAGAGGGAGGCCTGAATGCTGTAACTGCGGCCGAGAAAGATATTTAAGGCAGGACTGTCGATCACGTTTAACATCCGACGAAAGAAGATACTTGCGTTCGGGATTAGCTGAACTGGAGCGTCGGGGTTTGGAAAAAGTGAATTCGGCCAGTGTAAGGCAGTGTTGGGAGGGTACATTGGCTGCAGCATCCCATGACCCCAGATATTCGATTGCCATGATAGGACGCAACAATAACAGCTTAGGTGTCGACGTATTTCTGAATAATTACCAGTACCTTTCAACTATCGATACTGGAGCAACGAAGTCAGTAATGAGAGCCGACATTTCCAACAGAAGCAGTCTGAAAAAGTTATCAATAGTACTGGATCTGGAAACAACCACTGGAGGTAGACTGACAGTAACCGAATAAGTACACGTCTGCTTGTTTGAGTAGAGCCTAGATGATGACAGCACGACCAGCTGTCGAAAGCGCTCGCATATAATTGAATAATACATAAAGTTATATTGAGCTTATTTCTCGTATTTTGTCGAGGTGAACTGAAAATCTCCCTTCTATTTTATGTCTTGTGAATAAATATCGACAGGAATCCCTGAATCCAAATCTACAGATATTTCTAATTCCTCTTTTTTATTAAACATGTATTGGCAACACGTTCCCCAAAAACAGGTACCGTATCGAAGATACGATACCCTATTGGGCTATATTACTTTCAATCTCTACAGATATCATCTGTTCATATCCTCTTTCTGCGTCATATCTTCCATTTTTTTGGAATTTCCTAATGTTTATATTCTACACACTGAACAACTGTTAATCTTCACGCATTTAAAACTTCACGCATTTGAATCTTTTTCTCTTCCAGAAACTCTATCCTCACATAAGATTTTTACAGACAATTTCACCGATTTCGTATATTTATTTTTATACATCCATTAGATCTTCGAGTATAGAATTGAATAGAATAGAAACGAACATTGAGCTTGAAAAATACACTATAATAAACCGAATCAGATGAAAGAAACATGTCAACTGCAGTTCCACGGAACATTGAATGGGAAATAAAACGCTTGCTTCATTTTTGTAAAAGAGCCGTCGCTTATTATACACTTCCGGCTGACAATTTTCAGCGATTATTTCTCTCTTGGAATTCCAATATATTGATTTGATATGTGACATGTTCATCAAACCACATTTTCAAATATGTTCGCTCAGTCACTTCATTTTCCAATTTATTTTCACTCAGTTGTCTGCTTATCCATTTCATTCGTATACTATTCACAAAAATTGTATTGACTATTGGGATTATTTTCAGAATCATCCTAACTCTTTTTGTCAATATGAAAAAGTCACCTTGGTGTAGAAATGAGACGTCTTTTTGATTGAGAAGCCTACCAAATGATGATACTGTCACGTTTTTCCCCCGTGGGTTCACCAATAAGTGACTACACGGAATAATCAAACTTAACTGTATTTCACTTTAAATACAACAAACACTTCAACTAAAAATGTCAACTATTATTTGAATGTCTATCGCCTTACTAGATCACTTCGCGTACCGCACTGTTACGTCCACTTCACTGTGTACTTGACTGTCTGAATACGCTTGCAGCCAGCGTTTAAATATCGCAATGGAACTCCTTCAAATCACGTTTCCTTTGATCCTCTTCCAGCATGATGATTATGCAGAAGGACATTTCTCAACTGCATTCGAAATTGTTTCAAATGACCTGCTCTGAACTCTGATATTTGAATGTCATGCCATGATGTATTATTTAATATTCCTACTTAACAGTGCGGTCCATTTTCAAAATACTTTTGGAAATTCTCAAGGAGTTTGTCACTAATGAGAGCAATTTCATAGATATTATTATCTGCATTGTTTCCTCAACCAAATATAATGCACAACTCATCACATTTAACTTAGTAACTGGTAACGAATAAAGCACATACTACTTTTTACGTTTTCTTCATAAACATACGTTTCATTTTACTATATAAGGAATTCCAAAAATGATATGTTGCAGGCTGATTGTTAAGCGATGAACGGCAAACGTTGTTCGCGCTGAACTGATATGTGTACATCTCAAAAACAACAAATCTCCCAAAAATGGTGTTTCTGTCTTACGACCTGGTGCCCGTTTTGTGATGATGACACTATATATGTGACTATAATCCCTTTATTTAAACCTAATACCTATAAATGTTTATAAAAATATTTTCTCTTATATTCCACCCGTCAAGCACTCTTCTCTTGATATCTGTGTGCGTGTGTTTTGTATCTATCTATCTCACTTTATTGTGAGATTTTTACTGAAAAGTTTACAAAACCGCCACATATGTTTCATTATCCAATAGCTTCCTCAGTCGTGTTTATACTGACTAAATTCTACCTAGTTAGTGCTTTATATAATATAACAATTTAAATCATATGACCTTCTACATGTCATAATTTTTCTTGTGTTTGAGTATAAACTAATTGAAGATTTAAACATTATAGAAGTAATTTTACAAACCCATTAAATGGGCGTGTAATGAACTAATTCCAATTTCCATAATGGAGTAAAGATTTGGTCATTTCAATTTGGTCAATTCTATTTGGTCATTCAGAAATTTTTCAGTATTCTCAAGTCTAATAATGTCCAAGCATTCCAAAAAAACTGAGTTTCAAACTTTCCTCTTCCAAATGTAACAAATATGGAATTGGTCTTTACATTGGTCCAAAGTCACCTTGTATTCATGATCATTCCGTTCTGGGCCTCTATTATGAATTTATAATGATACTGAAACGAACTTCAGGAGACCGCCAGCTGCGCAGATACCATCATGTGTGTGAAGGTGTGCCTTGAGAAAGAATTGCGTACACGGAGTAACCTGTGTACCTTAAACATAGAGCATTTGTTTACAAAAATGGTAAGTGAGGAATAATCGCTATCAACAACCTCTCACAACGAAGCGTGAGTATGGAATGTCTCAACACTGAATCAAGTACGCCATACACCTCACTGCCTGAGTTTCAAAATAACCACTGCTGTTATCTGCAATTACGCATTCGCACTGCAAGGTCCTCGATCAGACTGAACGCTTCGATGCAATCGTCCACTCACCGAGCAGTCCGAGAGTAAAGTACACGCCGGTGGGCGAACGGGGGGATGCCATGATCTAAATATTGAATGATCTTCAGGGGACCGTATGGTGCGTACGCCTCACATCGCGCTGGCAGAGGGAATTACTGCGAGGGCTTACTGCCTCTTACAGTACGTCCTCGTCCTTGATGTACTTGGAGACTGAACGCTTCGATGCAGATATTTGCTCACCACATTTATATACACATTTAAGGTCATATTCCATGACCCAAGCTAAAGGCCTCGCATCGAGGCTAGTGTCGAACGTCGGAGTGAAACTTCACGCACTCACGATCAAATAACGTACACCTACTCCAAGCCCGTGTGACATTCAATGTCAAAAGTGGTGATAGGGGAGGTCCAGAACCGGCATTAGCACTCTACTAGACTCGTTTCACAATCTTCCGATGCCAACCATTGGAATTACGTTTCGAGTGAAATTTGTACCTTGAAACATTCAAACGACACATGCGCGTGGAACTGACTATATCGGTTTATGGAAGTTTTCTTTGCAGTGATAGCTCTAACATTGAATCAACTCTCACAACAAAATGGCAGCCTCTGCTTCCTCGTCGATTACAATAACACACATAGTCAGTGGTCACAGATCGAAACATTTTGGTTCGAAACAGTTGTGTCAGCATTTTGAGGAATGATTCATAATTTACGATTTTGGTCCAAGTTCAGTGCATTATTCTTGAAATCGAACTTTGGTTTGAATCTTTCAAGAAAGAATGAGCATTTGCCTTGAACTTTCTTGTACCTGACTCTGTTCCAAACGTCAGTTATGGTTTATTGAGAAGGAAAATAAAAAATCATCGGACTCCAACCAACTTGTGTTTTTGTTTCTAGGAATAACGAGATCCGCTAATCAGTCTCGACTAATACAAATCCCAACTGATGGACACACAATATCTTCAAGTGAATCGATTATTTCAAAAGAAACAAGTAGACTGACTACTACGGCAACAGTGATCCAGGTATGTACAAATCGCAGAATTATTTTATTCAATTGTGAGGTTTTCAATTCCTTTACCTCGTAAATATATATGTATTCTACACTAAACTCTTTGCAACTCCAACCATAATTATATAGTTATAGCAGAATTTCAAACTTAGGTCATCCACATCGAGATACCGATAAACCTACTCGTATCTCTCAATATACTGCCACTACTATCGATTGCATGTGTACCAACCTCGACGTCATAAATTGACAGGTAATTCTGTCAGGAGTATCAGACCATGAAGCTGTAATATACCCTTTGCCATTACGTACAGAAAACTTGTCACCTTCGCGTACCGCACTGTAACGTCCACTTGACTGTGTCGATATCCTCGTGGCTAGCCTTTAAATATCGTAATAGTCCAGGCATTTTAGGGGGTTTGCCTAGGAAAGTGGACAGACCCAGCTGTAAATTTGTATAAACTTTGTATTTTGGCATCATAAAAGTATTCTCAAAATTCACATATGATTCGACGGCCGCAACTTCAAAAATTGGGGGTCAATTTTTAATGTGCGGGTATACTTGGTTAATGGCTTAATTGAAAAGTTTTCTGTCAAAGATGTGACGAATCGTGTTCTGGATAAAGTTGTTGTTGTTTACTGCAATGTGTTTTATCAAAATTAATTCCTTATTGTAACTCTCTGTGATCATCGCAATACTGATGAATCTGTACATCATGATATGGGAATCTGCTAATTTCTGTTGATGAGGGTAATTAGAATGGTTAATGATAGTTGTATATGTATGGGTTGGTTTCTGGTAAAATGCAAAATTATGTTTGTTGATTTTTGTAATTGTGAGGCCTGAAAAGTTTATCGAATTATTTGTTTCTAGTTCTATTGTAAATTTGATGTTTTTGTGAATAGAATTGTACTGTAACGAATCTGATGCCGGCCCTGACCGATATCTCAGCCAGCAAATAAATACATGACTCATCGCGAAAGGAATGAACTCGACAAGTCGCCGCGAACAGTCTAGGCCACTACCGAAACAACTAGAGAAATCTAGCACGGTCATTGCCAATATATAAGCCGGCTTCCCGTCCCGAGACGGAGTCTGCATATAGAAAGTGAATCGTGTGTTTCAATAAAGAATTCAAAGTGTAAAGATAAATTAAGCGTTAGTTGTATAAATATTGTTAAAAATAAATTTGTTCAAGACAGTTAATTATTTAATTCGTTACAATTGGTGATCAGAAGTGGATTTTTAAAATAAATTTGTGAGCGCTTGGTGGACAATCTTTGCATTGCGGTGAAATTGACTATAAAACTTTTTCGCAGAGAGACTGGTGATTCATTGTGTTTCGCGAAGTGGACAGTACCGGCTACGGAAACATAAACTGATAGACCTTTCTCGCGAAAAATAGACTTGTGAAAATAAATAAGTATTTCGGACTCGAATAAAATAAGTGGACATATTCAGTTTTGTGGAAAATAAACAAAATGTGTTCGAGGAAAGTGTGCCTAGTGGACTTGAAAGTCGCCGAATTGAAGCAAGAATTGGAGGAGAGAGAGCTAGATTCTTCCGGAAAGAAGCCAGTACTCCAGAAGAGACTGTGGGATAACTTGATTGAATCAGGAGAAGATCCCGAAACATATTTATTCGAAGTCTCTGGGGGTGATTTGAGTTCAATAATGAGCTAACTCGATGGACTTCAACAAAATTCGGTAAACCTTGAAGAAAAGTTTCTGGAAAATGCGAAAAGCTTGGAAGATAAATTTCTAGAAAATTTGAAGAGTTTGGAAGACAAGCTTCGCGAAAATTCGGCGAGTTCAAAAGATGAACTTCAACAAAATTCGAAGTGCTTGGAGGAGAAGCTTCTAGAAAATCCAGAAGGCTTAAAGAAAGAATTTTGTGGTGTGGCGAGTCTACTCGAAGAAAGAATAGGTACCATCGAGACAGAGATAGACAAAATCAGAGAAGAAATCAAAGGGGAGATCAAAGATAAAATTGGGGCAGAAATGAAGAGAATGAAAGAAAAATTAGGCGATGAAATCAAAGACGGATTTGAGGCAGAAATCAGCAAGATGAAGGAAACAATTAGCAAGTTGCAAAACCAAATCGTTGATTCTGCCCACACCACAGAAAATGTTTCCGAAAACTCCATTCCGGAACTGAAAGATGTCAAAGCCAGTCCTGAACCAGGAAAACTCTCCATGAAGCCGCCCCAGTTCGACGGAAAAACTCCTTGGGCAAATTACCGCCGACAATTTGAAGCTGCGGTCAGAGGGAATGGATGGAATGCAGGAGAAAAGGCGGTAGCATTAACATTGGCATTGCGTGGAGAAGCAACGAATATTCTGCAAACCCTCACGGCCCAGGAACAGGAAGACTATGACCAACTTGTAAAGCATCTTGAGCTGCGGTATGGACAGGCCCACCTAGAGCACGTTTACCATTCACAGCTGCAGAACCGCTGTCAGAAATCAGAAGAATCCCTACAGGAGTTTGAAGCCGACATAGCTCGATTGGTCCGTCTGGCATATCCTGCTACACCGGAAAATGTAATGGAGCGGTTAGCAGTTGAGGCATTCTTGGACGGACTTCGCGACCAAGAAACGAGGCAGGCCTTGACATTAGCTCATCCCAAACATCTCGTGGATGCACTGGCAAGCGCTCTGGAGTTTGAGGCTGCAAAACAATCCTGCAAGAGCCAGAGCAAAGTTCGAGGTATCGAGGAAGATGGACAAGTGCCTGCTGATATTGAGGCCACCATCAGAAAAGTAATGAAAGAAGTGTTGCCTGAGAGGAAAAAAATAAGATGCTGAAACTGTGGGAAAATTGGGCATGTGCGTAGCAAATCTCCAAGCATTCAAAGAACCAACACCAAATCAAGAAAACTAGAGAGGTTCCATGAGAAGGAGCAATCGTCGGCCTATACCCAGCAAGCCCCTGTAAAAACGCATATGTTGCCGTTCTCTAACGACAAGACAAAGGTGTTTTCATAGACGGCCTCATCAACAACGAGCCTTGCACCATGCTGCTGGATACAGGTGCGACGAGAACCATTCTTGGGCCAACCTTTGCCAAAACACCGGCAAGAATTGAACCGTCAAGCTGGAAGCTACGCACCGCAACAGGGGAGCCAGCCACTGTTCTTGGAGAACTACCAATTGAATTGGTGATGGGCAGCACTAAATTGAAACATCGTGCATTGTTGGCGGACATCGAGGACGATGCGATCATTGGAATGGACATAATGAATTCCAGAGGGTTCGAGCTGAATTTTCAAGACGGCGTCCTACGTGTCGGCGGAGAAGAGCTGGTGCTTCATGGAAGAAGCGAAGAGATGATTAGGACTCTGTTGGCCGAAGACGTGTGCGTACCTGAGAGGGCTGAAAACATCCTAGAGGCTCGCTTGGACGGAAAAGCGAGCAGCGGAAATGTGGTAATGTTCGAGCCCAAGATACATGACGAGAAAATTGGACGAGGAATCGCACTGGGGAAGACCCTGTTGCGTGTTGATAAAGTTGTGCCGGCCAGGGTCATGAATGTCAACTACTTTCCCGTGACCTAGAAGAAGGGAACAATGCTGGGGCACTATTCGTCCATTTCCTCTGTGATACGGAGTGTACGCAGTTCAGTTAGCCAAGCCAACAACTTGCCTAAAGAGTTGGAAAAGTTAATTGACATTTCCGCCAAGGACATACCATCAACTCACCGATGTAAATTGAGGGAGTTAGTCAAGAGGTACCAGGAAATCTTCGATTGGAGAAGAAAAAGGCGGCAGTGGATTATCGCCAACTAAATCACGTGACGAAGAAAGACAGCTACCCTCTTCCAAGAATCGACGACACCCTAGACACGCTAGCAGGCTCCACAATTTTCTCGACTTTGGATTTGAAGAGTGGATATTGGCAAGTTGAATTGGCCCGAGAAGATCGAGAAAAGACTGCTTTCACCATCGGCTCAGGATTGTGGCAGTTCACGGTTATGCCATTCGGGCTTTGTAATGCTCCAGCGACCTTCGAGAGATTGATGGAGACGGTTCTCAATGGGCTCTCATGGAAGACGTGTCTTGTGTATTTCGACGATATAATCGTGGTCGGAAAATCGTTCGACGATCACTTGAAAAATCTGGAGGAGGTATTCATGCGTCTGAGGAGTTCCGGATTGAAACTTAGTCCCAAGAAACGCCATCTGTTCCAGTTACCTTGGCCACGTTGTCTCTGGGGAAGGAGTGGCAGGGGATTAACAAAAGATCAAAGCAGATAAGGACTGGCCCATTCCAAAAGACATACATCAGCTTCGGAGCTTCCTTGGTTTATGCACCTACTACCGCAGGTACGTGCTGGGGTTTGCCAACATCGCCAAACCAATGACCCGACTCACAGAAGAGCAGATCCAGTTCCAGTGGTCTAAGGAATGCCAAGACTCGTTCAAGAAGTTGAAAAGAGCTTTGATCAACGCTCCTGTTTTGAGCTATCCCTTACCTGACGGAAAGTTCATTTTGGATACGGACGCCAGCAACGTGGAGCAGTCCTTTCTCAGATCCAGGATGGACAGGAGAAAGTTATTGGCTACTTCAGCAAAACGCTCAGTAAACCAGAGCGTAATTACTGTGTCACCAGGCGAGAGCTGTTGGCCGTTGTCAAAGGTGTAGAACATTTCTACAAATACGTGTATGGAAGAAGATTTCTGTTGAGAACGGACCATGCGGCTCTCAAATGGCTTCTGCAGTTCAAAAATCCCGAGGGCCAGGTAGCGTGCTGGATTGAGAGACTACAAAAATTTGACTTCGAAATAGAACATCGAGCTGGGACTAGCCATAAAAACGCAGATGCCCTGTCATGGAGACCATGCCCCGATGACTGCTCACATTGCCGACGAGCAGAAGAGAAGGAAGCAGCTATTTGTAGAACTAGAGCTGTGGACGACAACTGGGAGGATAATAAGATCAAGGAAGACCAAGAGGAAGACCCAGATCTTGGTTTAGTCATCGGATGGAAGAAAAGTAACCGAAGACCATCGTGGCAGGAGGTAGCAGGTTATTCGCCAGCGGTTAAGTCCTACTGGGCACAATGGAACTCCCTTAACTTGGAGTCTGAAGACGGTGGAGAAGAAAGCCGCTAGACAGTAATACCCAGAACAGACGACGGGAGGTGCTCAAAGAAATCCATGATAGAGTCACTGGAGGACATCTGGGAGTAACGAAGACTATCCAGAAAGTAAGACAACGGTTTTACTGGGTTAATTGTCAAGCCGACGTCAAGGACTGGTGCAGAAAGTGTGCTGTATGCGCTGCCAGTAACGGACCTCGGATACGACCGAAAGTTCCAATGCGCCATTATAACGTGGGTAGTCCTTTTGAGAGAATCGCCATCAACAACTAGCCGGGCCGTTCTCAGAGTCCGACGATGGAAACAAATACATCCTAGTAGCCATGGACTACTTCAGCAAGTGAACAGAAGCCTTATGCCCTGCCCATAACACCAGGGCAGACACTTTGAGTCCAACCTGTTCCAAGAAATATGTAAACTGTTCACTGCTGTTGATGAGGGTAATTAGAATGGTTAATGATAGTTGTATATGTATGGGTTGGTTTCTGGTAAATTGCAAAATTATGTTTGTTGATTTTTGTAATTGTGAGACCTGAAAAGTTTATCGAATTATTTGTTTCTAGTTCTATTGTAAATTTGATGTTTTTGTGAATAGAATTGTACTGTAACGAATCTGAAGCCGGCCCTGAATCTGAAGCCGGCCCTGAATCTGAAGCCGGCCCTGACCGATATCTCAGCCAGCAAATAAATACATGACTCATCGCGAAAGGAATGAACTTGACAAGTCGCCGCGAACAGTCTAGGCCACTACCGAAACAACTAGAGAAATCTAGCACGGTCATTGCCAATATATAAGCCGGCTTCCCGTCCCGAGTCAATATACATGTACTCAGACATTATATCCTGACACGTTCTATACCCTAATGGGTCCTTTGAATGAATAAATTGATTTGATGTGATTATTATTGCCAATTATATACAGGGTCATTCACCAGGGCTTACTTATCGTATTGTGATATATTGTTTTTTTTTACGTTGAAAGATCTTCCGTTATATTGCCGTTAAAAATCTGTGTATTCATATGAATGAAATGCTGAAGATTTTATTATAATGTTTCCGCCTTTTTTCCTGGGGTCCAAGCTAACACCGATACGTTGCGCCTGAGCACAAGTGACCGTTTCACAACTCTGGTAGTTTACCTTGGAATTTCCGTTCTTGCCGTTCTTGCTGAGGTAAACTCATATTGGGTATTTGACAGGGGAACAAATTTACCTATCGTCGAAAACAACTTTATACAATTATTAGTATTCCATTCAACGAACCTCCCCTTCTTCACTGATATTTAGCCGCAAATGCCCACTTGTTATTTGACACCTGTGTGGCGAAGAGACCTGTACAACTGACGTGGCATTGTACTATCTCATTCTAATATGTAAAGGTAATATGGTATAGCTTCTTATCGATTAAAAGTGGAATGATCCTGTCTAGATAGATTGCTTTTGATTTTATTAATATAATAGGCAAATTCCATTATGTAGGTAGAATATTTAACTCTGCAAATATAAGTTTACAAGAAAGTCTTTGTGAAATGTTCTCAATAGTAAGTACTTTTTGGTGTCAAAAAAAACTTCTTTGCAGAGGGGAATACGTTTTCCTCAATAGAGTTACCATACAGCAGTACAGACAGCAGTCACGACTCCCTGTTGAAAATATGAACGAAACTTCTACGGATGAAGCAACTGTCATTTTGAATTATATTGTAGAGAATGAAAATCTACCAATCGATGCAAATGTTATGAGAAATAAAACAAAATCTGATGATGAAATTTTAAAAGTTACTCAAAACATGTGTCGGAGGGTTGGCCAGATAAGGTAGATGAATTTCACTAGTTCGGACTTCCATTGTCTACTATATAAAATGATTTGAAATCCTATTTTTACTTGGATTTTATTTCACTATTATTTCATTTCAGGTTTATTTTGGTTAATATAATTGTTATTTTCAGCTATTCATTTTCAATTCTTCTTTTTTAGTTATTTCAGGGATTTCAAATCATTTTATATAGGTAATAGACAATGGAAGTCCGAACTAGTGAAATTCATCATGAAACATTGTCAATCACCTTCAAACAAAGATAAGGTAGATGTTCAGTATAAACCATTTTTCGGAAGGAAAGATGAAATATCAGTAGAATATAGTATTTTGGTTTGGTGATATTAAGTAATTGTACCGGCTTCACTCCAAATGAAAATTCCAATTGAAACTTCACATAAACCATTTGGGGATGGTGAAGACAAATGCACTAGCTAGTTTTTATGTGTGATGACCTTCTTTGGATAGAGAAATTGAGATCTGCAGAGTATGTATATCATGCCTCAATGTTCGACAAGTTCATACTAAAAGCGAATTACAACCCTGGCTAATTCCCGATAGAGTGTGGCAACGTTTGCATTTAAATTGGGGACAGTGATTACATTTTTGTCAGGTATAATTCTGATTTGGGGTGTTGTCTTGATTGTTGTTCATTGACGATTTTCCAAGAAGTTTTATTTTCGTATTCAGGTTCCTGTATACTGCAACTATACAAATATTTTTTGTGGTTTCTACCAAATTCATATGATTGGTTCTCATCCTTTTGTAATGATTCTCAAGTTCTAATTGTACCTTCAGTAAAAAAAATATCATTCAGATTTTTCAATTCCGTTAGAGGCCAGGAGTTTGTCTTTGTGTCATACTTATATTGAGAGAGAGAAGCACCTATCAAATATTTGCCAAAACATCAGAGAACATATTACATTTATCATTACAGCTGAAGAGAGTGTGAACCTCCAAGTTTCAGATTTCAGAGCATTAGAGAATTTTTTTTTGTTGCTAGAATTGAAATACTGCTTTTACCTAGATTGATCAGGATTATCATCAAGACTTTATTGTTTCATTGACTTTGACTATCATATATCTATGATTCGAAATAAAATTATCACCTACTAATGTTTTTGTATCATATACGAAGTTTATAAGTAACTTATCAATTCTTGTTCTGTTAGGTGGAATTACCCAAGTATTTTCAAACATTAGGTATGTTTCCATATTGGCCGATTATATTCATTATATATTCGATTATATATTACATTGAAATATCCTGTTATATACATGTATTCCTCAGAGAACACTGAATTTAGAACCATATCTAACCTGTCAGGAAATAATAGTCTATACGAAGTCAATCCGACCAGCTGATAAATTCAGAGTCTGATAAATTTACTACCATATAAAACCTCCCACATAAAAATAATAATTAGACCTCGTAAATATACCACGCGGCCCATGCCATACAATGAAACTTCCGACGTTCGGTAACTACTTAGTTTTTATGCCATTCGAGTTGATTTCTTAAATACTATACCCGGAAATCACCCGTTGAGCTCAGCATAACCATATAAAAGATAGACTTTTTGGTTTATGATTTTCTCTCTCATTTCGGATCGAAATCCAGTATTTGATTTCCTGAGTGAAAATTGAAAGGTTCTTCACCATTCTTGATTTCATTAAGATATTTTTCTTCTTTTAGAAATGGTTATTCTGCAACACATCTAGACCAGTATGGATGTATTGTCCACGTAAATAACTAACTGAGCATCTGTTGCTGAAGTATCAACCTCATTCATATAAAAAAGAAATAGGATAGTCTCAAATACTGAACCTTGAGGAACTCCTAGTTTTTACTTAAGACTGTTTGAATCCACCACTCTAGACTTTGGAATGCCCAATAGGAAACTAGAAGTTTCCTATTGGGCATTCCTTTTCTTCAAAAAATGGATAACTTTTTTTTTAATGGAAAGGTATCATTGTTAGTTGATTTGTTTGACGGATACTGTGCAGATTCTCTAAAAGCAGATCATCACTCGCAATAAATTTGAAAAGCAAGAGTACATAGTAACTAACTGATTTGTAGTTCCTCATTAAACTAGCGAAATAGAAGTGATATTTTAAAATAACTTTATCGTTTCAGAACTCAAGGAGAAGTAATGTAGTGAAAGAAGTTGAGAAATTGAAGAAAAATAGAGAAGAACGACGACAAAGACAGGCAGAAGAGAAAGCAGAGAAAGAAGCATTTTTACAAATGGCTCCTGGAAATCCACACTGGGAACTTCTGAATATGATACTGTGAGTATTACAAAGTGTATATTTATCAGTCTTTCTAAAATGTAGACAGAAATCTGTTCTTTAGATTCTTTTACTGCTTCCCAAAAATATATATTCATTACCGCGATAATTCTGGATGCATTATAACCATATGACCTCACAACCTAGTTTATTTATTCCTCTATCATTTGTATTGCATAATTTGTTGGTACAGGAAATGTGTAGAAGAGTAGATGGCTGGTCTATTCCGTTGCTGCACTAAAATAGACATCTGATAAATTCCAAAGGTTTTAATAAAGGTAATAATAATTTTCGAAGATATATATTGGTAGATATAGGGTGAATGATGTGTCAAAACTGTTGTGATTCAATCGGACATTTTGATATTTTTATTAAACCGAAAAGTCATCAAAATATATTGACATTATTATTAATATTCCTTTCATCAACACTCATGCGAGTGTATCTAGAAGAGGTTTTGTGCTGACTAGAAACTATTAGAATAGTAAAAGTCTCGTCACTTCAATACATCCCTAAATGTTTTAAAATAACAACTTTATTTCAAATAGGCACATCATAATATACAAATTTAGATTTTTATATGTCGTTATTAATAATAAAAAAAATTTGAAATTTGATAATTTCTGCACTGAGGTATTGTTGTGAATTACCCCCTGATAGAAAAATAACGGCCTCCGACGCTTGTCTTTGTTGACCGACTGGGTCTTGATCAAGGTCGCGCTTAACCCCTCTTGCTTCTTTCTCTCTCTCTTTCTTTCTCTTTTTCTCTCTCTCTCTCTCTTTCTCGCTCTCTCTCTTTCTCGCTCTCTCTCTTTCTCGCTCTCTCTCTCTCTTTCTCGCTCTCTCTCTCTCTCTTTCTCGCTCTCTCTCTCTCTTTCTCGCTCTCTCTTTCTCGCTCTCTCTCTCTTTCTCGCTCTCTCTCTCTCTTTTTCTCTCTCTCTTTCTCTCTCTCTCTCTTTCTCTCTTTCTCTCTCTCTCTCTCTCTCTCTCGATCTTTCTGGAATTCTGTGACTATTCGAGATTTGTTCGACCGAGGAGAGAAGAGACTACTGTTGGGGATCATCAGAACGAGAGCGTCGGGGTTCGGCAAACTAAATTCAGCCACCAGCAGTGTTAGGAGGGTACATTGGCTGCTGCACCCCATGCAAGATGCAACAGTAATATCTTTGATGTCGATGGATTTCTGAATAATCACCAGTGCTTTTTCGCCGCCGATACTGGAGCAACGAAGTCGTAATGAGAGCCGACATTTCCAACACAAGCATTTTCAAGAAGTTATTAGTAGTACCCGTTCTGGAAACAGGCACTGAAGGTTTATAAAGGAGCGGAAGAGAGATTTGAAAATTGTGAAATAAGGTATTTGTGGCCAACATCATCGACGAATTCATTTTTGGACTAGACATTATGACCCCATACGGATTCGTAGTGGACACAAGAAACAAACCGTTCAAAGTTTGAAATGAGGAAATTCTGCTCGATGTGCCCTCTCAGCCATATGACACTGCCAAGGTGGTTGACTGGTGGTTGACTGAAAGACTCCAAAATCTCTTCCAACATTGAGAGAATAATTTAAGCAGTGATTGCTGGATCTGGTGATTTGGCTACAGCCATGATATATCCTTCCAACTGTTCTGAAGTAAGAATTTTGTCGCAGATCTCTTGTAAATGGTAACAACCAGACCATTTCGGTGATAATAATTATAGGCAATATATTCGTGATCCAACACCAGACAGCACGGTTTCGACCAACCAGGTCTTATCAGTGGTGAATTTTTTTGAGACACATTGTGTCCTCAAAAGAAGTTGAAAAGGATCTAGAGAAAATCAAGGCAGTGCAAGAACGACCAACACCGAAAAACGGAAACGACGTTAAAAGTTTCCTTGGACTCTGTAGCTATCACCGGCATTTCGTGAAGGGCTTTGCAGAAATTGCCAGACTGTTTCAGTTTGACAGAGGGAAAACCCTCTTCGTTTGGTCACCAGACTTCCAGCAAACATTCACGGCTCAAAAAAACATTTGATTAGTACCCCAGATCTGGCATACCCAAAAGAAGAAGGCTTGTTTATAATCGATAGGAATGCATCCCGAATAGAAGCAGTACTCTGTCTGTCTCCAAGAAGGAGAATAAGTCGTTATTAGCTATTTCAGTAAGCCCCTGGAAACATCCGAAAGAAAGTACCTTGCCACCTGGAAAGACCTCTTTGCAGTATATGATGGAATCGGCCGATACTTGAAAATCCATAACTAACGTATTCTAAAAACATTTTATTGTGAGATTTTCACTAAACAATTTTAAAAAAACGCAACACGTATTTCGCCATACAATGGCTTCTTCGGGCGTGTCTTCACTAACAAATTCTACACTTTCAATGCAGTGGTTGAAGCGGTGGATCACTATGACCCTTTTTTTATATGGCCGTGAATTCTTGATCAGATCAGACTACTCAACACTTGAATGGCTCCTCAGCTTAAAAGCCCCAGAAGGACAAATAGCAAGATGGTTCGAAAAATTACAAACATACAATTTTGAAATTCTCCAGCGGAAAGCAGTCACAGAAACGCAGAAAGCCTACCAGGAGGAAGAAGATACTCAGTTACCAGAGGAAGACGTTTCCACCAGATGTGACAGGGTAGCGGGCAGAGACTCCTTTACAAACAACTCTGCTTCAGGTTCCTTTTGACCTGATGGGTATAAATCTGTAAGGTTTCATTGTCTAGGGTTAACAAACAGAAGATGTGAGGAATTACCGGACCATGGTGTGGTACCGGAATGGCAAGAGATTTCTAAGCCTGGAAGGATCCAAACATGCCAGATAATTTTTCAAAAGCGGGTATTGCGAAAGTACTACACTAATAGCTTCACGACGGTCGAACTGGAGGACATTTCGAACTAAATAGAACTCTGGCGACAAGCGCTGTCGCAGAGTTTAGGAGGAGTGGTGCAAGCACTGTGACCTGTGCTCGTCGAGAAAGGGTCCAAAGACAAGGCTGAGGGAAAAGTTGAATCAGTATGTCAGTGGGTGTTCTTTCAAGAGAATCGTCGTTGACATCTGGGACACTTCCTGCGGTTGCAGGTACCTGATGATTGTAATGGATATTTCTCTAAATAGCCTGAAGTAGTAGCTTTACCCAACCAAGAGGCATAAAGGGTGGTAAAAGCTCTGTTGTCAGGCACGGAGTACGAGAATGGATTGGTAAAGGAGTGAGGCCGGAATGGCAAGAGATTTCCAAGCACGACCAGCAGGAAAACGCTTACTGGATCCAATGGGACTCCATGTGCATTCAAGATGACCTATTCGGAAAGGGGAAAGTCCAGATGGAAAAACCCACAAATTCCAGATAATCCTTCCAAAGACGTGTATCCCAAATATACTCAAACCGCTTCAATAAGGTCGATCTGAAGGACAATTCGGAATGAATAGAACTCTAGCGAGGGTGCCTGAGCGGTACCATTGGGTCAATTGCCGCAGGGACGTAGCAGAGTGGTGTAAACGCTGTGACATGTGTTCTTCGAGAAAGGGTCCAAAGACAAGGCAAAAAGGAAGGTTGAAGCAGTACCTCAGTGGTGCCCTTTGAAGAAAATCGCCGTTGACATTTTGGGGCTACCTACTATAATCATGCCCAACAAAGAGGCTAAAACGGTGGTAGAACGTAATTGCTAGGCACCACTTCATAAACAACTACCTCTCGATATTTGTCTCCAAAAACCAAAGGAACTGAGATAAACTGGTTTATCTCTTTCAGTTGGAGTTCTCAACGTTAAGAGACAGGCTACACACCATCCATGTTGTTAACCGCCTCAGAACTGAAACTTACGATAGAGGTAATGTGTGGCAGTCAATCTGATTAATACTCGTTTAAGAGTACGTGAAGAGCCTGAAGGAGAGACTAGAAATCGTCCACAAATTCGCCACATCCAAGGTACAGCATTCCACCGATAGGATGAAGATAAGATTTGACAAAAACTTCGTACCTTTCGGGTTCAAGGAGGGCGATGTAATGTGGCTCTACCAACCCCAACAGCGGAAAAGTTTGTGTCACAAATTGCAGAGACCATGGTGAGGACCTTACTTAGTAATCAAAAAGATGAACGATCTGATGTACAGAATCCAATTGTCACCCAGAAGCCCAAGGTCATCCATATAGAGCGACTGAGTCCTTACATGGGTCGTGATTTTACTTGGAATTTTGTTTGGGGCGAACAACCTCAGAGAAGGGGCCAGTGTTGTAAATTATTCCTTGATAACGCTGGCCGTTTGTTCCTTCGGCTTCGTAGTAGAAGTGATATAAAGTTGAGATTAATTGTACTACCTAAACGTAGTTTTCCAAATGAAAGAGTTCTCAAACAGTGAAAATCGAGGTGTGCTGAGTTAAACCTCAAAACGATAAGAGGCCACAGTCAGTCGCGTATTTCTGATATGTACTGCTCTTGGTGGAATCAAATGTGCCAAGTCACTTAGACAAATCTCCAACCTTTCTTCGATGTTCCAGACTATCAAGGTTGCAAATGATATTTTTGTCTCCAGTCAGGCGAATGTTTTTTTTCTGGATGGAATCTAGCAGCTTCAGGGTCTTGTCCTGACATTATTATATTATTCGGAAACATTTTGGAGAAAACCAATGCCTGGGTTTTCGTGGCATTGCATTCAACCTGGTTACTTTCACCCCAATTCAAAATCACCTCTAGATACTCATTAGGATATGCAACCTCCTGCTGCTGGGGAAGTTGTGCATCCGCAGTCGATGTTCTGGAATCCAAATGAAATGACGAGATAAGTGTGCTGTCATCAGCAAAGTAATATGTTAGATTTTGGTTTTTTTCACAAAAAATCTTTGATATACAATAAAAGAGGGTTGGAGACAATATGGATCCCTGGGGAACACCAATGTTGATGGTAAAAGTATTCGAGATACATCCATCGACGGCCACTTGCAGGAAACATTTTTTCAGGAAGCTGGAGAGATATATACAAAAATGATCTGACAAGCCATAGCATCAAGTTTGGTCAGCAAACCCTCATGCCACACACGGTCAAAGGCTTTAGAAATATCAAGCGCAACAGTGTTGACTCTCCATGTTTCTCGATTGCGTTATTCCAAATATGGTTAACATATGATACAAGGTCGCCTGTTGATCTTTGTTTCGGAAGAGTATTATCAATCATTGTACTTTGTGGAAGGTCATTATTTTATATTTGAAGTTAGACAATGCATTAAATCATTTCAGTTGGGCTGGAAATTTGTTATACTCTAGAAAACCTTTGTGGAATATATATTTTGCATTATTCAGATCCGGGTCAACATATAAAGTAAGGTCAATAGATCGTTACACTTGTCATCGATTTGTGCATCCAAAGTAAGTCGACAAAATAATGAAAACAAAATGACATGGCGACTGCTTCAATCAACGGAAATGTAATAATTGAAGAATTGCTTTTATTCGTTAAATTAATCATAAAGTGGCCCTTGTTACGATTTTGATCAATTTCATTAAATTCATTAGCACTTTACTGACCATCGTATAAATATTGTATATTTTATATTCCGTATTTGAACTATGATATCTGGAAAATTTAATATTGCAGTATACATAGAGCCATTCTCAATTTGAGGTTAAAATTTATAATTACGATATAAAATTTACTTGCTGTGAAATCGCAGATTATTAGCTGTGAAAGTTATTATTTGTGTTTAAATTGAAAAAGATTGTATGAAGATGGAAAAGAAGAAAGTCAAAACCTTTATTTCCCAAATATTATTTGTGTCCTATGAAAAACAACGAACTTTAGAAACTTCACCTCAAATAATATCTCCTGTCGAATGTAATCAGTTGTCAAATTTGGCCTTCCATTCACGTTTGTATAGCTGAGTCTCTTCAATGTACCGAGTGCAAGCCATCATCCAAACAAGAGCTCTCACTGATTAAATGCAAATGTCAACTGTTTTGTCTTCGTTTATTACTTGTTCAATATAAAGATGCTATTTAAAAGTATGTGTTTCATTGGGTCGGCTATTGATGACGCTTGTATAATTATGCGCCCCCTTAAATGTATGTATATTTTTGGTTAATTACTTTTTTTTTTGGTTCAAGGGAATATCGACGTGGATTAGATATCAAACCTCTGACAGAAAATGATGCCATAGAAGATCATCTAATCACAGTATGTGTTAGAAAGAGGCCATTGAACAAAAAAGAAATATCCAGGAAAGAAGTCGATGTGATTACAATACCAAGTAAAAATCAGTTGATAGTACATGAACCAAAAAATAAAGTTGATTTAACAAAATATCTTGAAAACCAACTTTTTCGATTCGATTATGCTTTCGATGAAACATGCTCAAATGAAATGGTATACAGGTGAGCTGTTTTTCTTTTTTTTTCTGCTTCTTCCAATTTTATGAATTCTAGGTACACTGCACAACCATTAATAAAAACCATCTTTGAAGGAGGTTTTGCAACTTGTTTTGCTTATGGCCAGACGGGATCTGGCAAAACACACACAATGGGCGGAGATTTTCAAGGTAAAACTCAAGATTGTCAGAAGGGCATTTATGCAATGGCTGCTGCAGATGTATTTCGACTTACTAATTCTGCAAAATATCGTAATATGAACTTGGTGGTCTCGTCAAGTTTCTTTGAAATTTATTCCGGAAAAGTTTTCGATTTGTTGAATAATAAGGCTAAACTTAGGATACTTGAAGATGGTAAACAACAAGTTCAAGTGGTTGGTCTTACAGAGAGGGTGGTTAGTAATACCGACGAAGTTCTGAAATTAATTCAAAAAGGTAATCAGGCTCGCACATCAGGACAAACTTTTGCAAATTCAAATTCATCACGATCCCATGCTGTATTCCAAATTTATTTGAGATCTGACAATAATATGTCAAAAATCCACGGCAAATTTTCACTCATCGACCTGGCGGGAAATGAAAGGGGAGCAGATACTTCTTCAGCAAACAGACAGACTAGTAAGTAAAATGTTACTAATTATAGTATTTGACTAAAACATGTCAGTATTCTTTAAAAGAAGTGCTGGTATAGGTAATTTGAATCACTATTCTGATTTACTGATTGACAAAAATGATTTTGATGATGGTTAAATTGAATTAAATATGTTACTTTATATCTACTACTAACAGAGCCGGTTGTAGGGTTTTTGGTGCTCGAGGCGAAAACAAGGTTTGCGTTTTCGTTGGACTTTTTTTTTTTTAGGTACCTACGCGTAGACTAATATCAAGTGTCCTCTTTAAAATGCCATATTTAGATACCTACACTTTCAGCTGTGTCTGCCGGGTATGAAACTTCATTGAAACGTTATCGTTAATTATTATAACAAAAAATTTGAGTTTATTACCGTTGATTATTAACAGATATGTAAATGAAACGAACGTCTATTTCGCATGAATGTATGTACCGAGGTGTGGCTAAAAAATAACAGGACTGGTTTTCTGTGAGACAAAGTGAGCTTCAGCAGTTTGGACGACACTACTCAGTTTCGCCAAATTTTTTTCCCATGTCGGACTTTGTATCTGCCGCTAGTCGGAAAAATAGTAGGTGTTTTAATTGGGCAACATGTCAACGAGAATCTCGATAAATTCACCACAGAGGCCTTTTTTTTCTTACAAGTGTATGAGAATCAATGTATGTCACGTGCACGGGTTGTTTTTAGTGGTATAAATGTTTCAAAGAAGGGCGAGAAGATATCAAAAATGATCGATCTACTTCCCAGGACGTCTTTCAACCTCGAGAACGGCTTTCTACTGGACAAATAGTGAATTCAGAATATCATCGTAAGGTTCCAACTACTCTCTGTGAGGAAGTAAAAAAAATTGACCAGAGTTGTGGAAGAAACAAGCCGTAGATGCTTAATCAGAACAATGCTCCAGCCCGCACTGCATTGCTTGTTAAATCATTTTTGGCCAAGTATAGGATCCCTGTATTAAAACAGATCTGGCTAAGTGTGACTTTTTTATGTTCTCGAAAGTAAAAGAAACATTGAAGGAAACCAGGATTAATACAGTGAAAACTGTGGAGGGGAAAGCATTCGAGGTTACTTTGAACACTGGGAAAATTCGAATAGAGAAGTCTGGGGATAGTGGCGGGATATATATTGAAGATGGGAAGATGAAAGTTGTAAAGGACCTTCCAATGAAGTTTGCCGTTCTCGAGAATAGGTATTCGCTGGAAAACATCATAATCGATAATCTACATGTAAGGAACCATACTAGAAAGCGTGTTTGAACTGCATGAACTTTCTCCCTTTGATGGGCAATATCAAAATTGTATTGCTTATCCCAAAATTTCACGTACCAATCCTACCAATGGGATCTGTAATGTTTTTAAGTAAATAAGTCAATGATAACAGTAAACTTGGTGGCTTCATCATAGGGTCAAAGTTATTTCATGGCAAACTCGTCATCAACCAGTAGGTCTCTAATTTGTTGTCTTACAAATATTTCCTCTTTTATTCAACACCGCTGATTTTTGGGAATTGTTGTTTCAAGTAGCAAAAACCATCTCTAAGCATTCCTTCTCGTTTGTGAATCATTTCCTTTCATGTTTTGTAAGTGATCTACTCAGGTAACAAATGTCCTTTTCGCCATCTGAATAACACTGTGAGAGAATAACTGCCAGGCCAAAATCAGGCACCTCTTTCTACAGAAAAAAAAGGTAGACTGAAGTCGGGGCAAGCCAGAATAGGAACTGAAAGAAACTAGGTTATGTTTGACAATGTTTAGTGTGAGTCAGTTGTGTTAATGGAGACAATAATGTGGATAAGGAAGGAATAAATAGCTTATACCACGAAGCTAGACCTACTTTCTCTTAACGTCAGAGACGCTAGGCGGAGTAGGTATGCATCCATCCCGAAATTTATCTAATATGGAACTGATGTACGGATTTGGATATGCACCTAGCGTACTCACTCCATTTTAACGCTTATAATTAACGCAGAACTACCATTGATTGTCACTTTTCTTGAACATTACGATTGGTGAAGACCAAGGGGATTTGGATGGTTCAAGTACCTCTTTCGCCAACATATCGTCGAGTTCATTATTACTAATTTTTTGGAGAGCCAGTGTTTAATGTTGTATGTTTAACTTGCTTTACGAGATGCATACATCCCAACTTGTCCCCTATACCAGAGAATGCTTGATCTATCACATCATTGAGAAAAACATTCTATTCTTCAGTTGATGAATCGATATCTTGAATCCCACTAAACTCGATATTATCTTTCTATATTTCTGACTGAAAACTCCATTTACCTGTATCAGGTATCTCAATTCGTGACCAAAAATCAATATCTTATATCGATACATGTCTAAAAGATAACGCGATCCTGAAGCAGAATAGGTACTGAAACCTGACCTGAACTCTCTCACAAGTTTGACCGTTAGCTACCATACAGTACCTGCTGTATGGTACTACCACCCGGTCCATCCTGTTTTCAAAGCACCACTATCGAGTAAACCAAAGAACATGAAAAATGAGAAATGAAAATTTCTGTTTTTTACCACTTCAATTTGTGACTATCGTTACTGCAGTTTCGTCCTATATGGAAATTTGAGAAAATGAATAATAATGTTAGCCCTGATATAACTAAACACCACTGTAGGTAATAACAGAGGTTCTTGACTCAATTGAGTACTTGAAATTTTTTCACCTGTGACAATGTGGGTACGCTAATTTGAAAACCGGTGAGTAAACAAGATCGGTTTGATCATTTAGATTTAGCAGGTTACATTCGCGATGCTTGTGCTTATGAATTTCCAAGGATATCAAATATTTGGTGATTCGGGAACTTGTGAATGCATTCCAAGGAATGGTTTGAAAACGTGAAATCATTTTTGCCTAGTCTGAAGGACCTTTTATGTTCAGCATACCGTCTTGAGAAATTTTGACCACATTGTCCCTCATAAACATTATTACACTTAAACTTATAAACTCCAGATTTCTCTATATTGTCCACTTTATCTTTGACATTAAAAAGAAAATTAGATAGCCTGGTACGTGGTCTAAATACCAATTCCACACTTTTTTTTTTAAACCCGCAATTGTCTCTATTCTTATACCAAAATACGTTAAAGTTACACATTTCTTAATTACTGATTGTTTGATCAGGGGGTATATTAATCTGTACATGAATTTGGGGTTTTGTTTTCTGAATAACTTCTGGATTGTGTCTGGGTTGAAACCATTATTACGTCCTATCTGTATAATTGTTTTAATTTTCCTATCTAGATTGTTAGCAGATAAATTTGAGTTCACAGAAAACCGAACTATATAGATATTACAATCTCAAGTGATTCTTTCCATCTTGACAATGATCAATTAGTAGCCTACAATTCAATGTTGTACAGAGCATTCTCACTGCCTTTATCTGATAGAACTGTGATTATAACAAGTGTGAGCGACATAGTACATTCATAACTGTGTAAATTATGAACAATATTTCGAAAACACGTCCACGAGCATTTTTCAATGGGATTTAGTTTTTGTTCTAAATCTTTTTTTTATTTTTCAGTTCCCTTTTTTTTTTACTCTGTGGTCATTTTCATTTTGTATCTTGATTATTTTATTCGTTTTATTGTATTTTCATTTCACGTTTTATTGTTTAATATAATTGATATTTCAGCTATCCATTCTAATTTTATTTGTTCTTTCATAGATTTCGAATTATAGTAGAATCATATTAGACAATGGAATTCCGAATTAATAAATTTCACCATGAAACATTGTCAAACTCTTTCAAACATTCTTTCTCATATTCTTCATTATTCAATTATTTACAGAGTTCAGGTATTATTTCCTAGACCTTCTAACGACTGCATTTAGGTCCTGCAACATGAGTTAATTTCGAACAGGAAACCAACAATTATAAATTGATATATTAGTGGAGACTGGAGACTTCGCCATGTTTCATCATTATAAATCTCCATCTTTGTCTTATTCTATGATATCAGAATTTTCTTGCATTATGTTTTCTTTGTTTTTTGTTTGTTTTTTTTTCTGGGGTGGACTTAGTCAAATTTTCTCTGATGTATTATATTTATGTGATAGTGACTTTCGGAAAACGGATCAAAAATAATCCGACGGAATTTATTACTATCACACCATCTTTCTAGAAACATTAAATCTTCTTTCTATCAATCAGATATCTCAGTTACTATGGCTTACTTGATCCTTAGGAAGAAACGGAATGGTGAATTTAATGGTTTTGTCACCACTTTCTAATGTTAGGCTGTTATTTGAACCATACTTAGCTTACAGAAAACCAACAAACGCCAGTGTTCCTATATTAATTCAAGTCAAGAATTCAGTTGAACTAGTCTACTAGTCTGTGTATGCATTTATCTAAAAACTGTGTAGGCTGTCATGGATGATAGAATATGTGGTGTTATTTTTTCGAAAATTTTTCAAAACTCGACGTTTCGAAATATGTAAAACTGCATTATCAAGGCTTGTTAATGCTCCTGCATCGTAAGGGGTGATTTGTGTATGTGTACGCATTATTTTCATCAATTTGACATCAAAAATTTTCTCTTGTAGGAATGGAAGGTGCTGAAATTAATAAATCTCTTCTTGCTCTGAAGGAATGCATTAGAGCTTTGGGTCGTAAAGGTGCACACTTGCCGTTCAGAGTTAGTAAATTAACACAAGTACTTCGAGATTCATTTGTGGGATCTTGTTCAAGGACCTGTATGATTGCAATGATTTCGCCAGGTGTTAGCTCATGTGAGCACAGTTTGAATACATTGCGCTATGCTGATCGTGTCAAAGAATTGGGAGGAGGAGATTTACAAACCAATACTGGATCTGATTATGAACAAGATGATGATGGAGATCTGCTTCAATTGAGATCATTAAATGTAAGTATGTAGTAAAAAACCCAATCAGTTTGTACAATGAAATATAAAAAACCATTATATATTCTTATAATTTCATCATCTATTCAGTAATATTGACGTCAAAAATATGAGAGTTCAGTGTAAAAACTACATAATAGTGAAATGTATCTAAGTGTTGCAACGAGAGTTTATTGTGGCTGCTACCTGTTCAAACTTGACTAAATATACTTAATACCGAAACCTATCACTTTGTTTGGAGGATCTTTCACGTCAGCTGGCAAGATCGAGAATCAGATCCGATCTGTGAAAGGGCAGACACATAGTATGTGCTCTGCTACCAGGGCCTGAATTTCCTGGTCAAAAATGAACCCCTTCAATTTTGACAAACCATGGTACATTTTTCTCAATCTAGTAAGCACATGATTGTCTGTCTATCTGCAAAAGAGCAAGTGTTTCATTTGAATTTAGTTTAATTTCATTTTTTTCACTCTAACTTTCTACTTAACCTAGTTTGTTGATGACCATTTTTATATCGTCTTAGTTTTGTTAAGAAAATTTATAATCTTTTGTGTAGAGTAAATTTGTCGGATTTGTAAAAAAACAAATTAGTTTGACCTAAAATGAAAACTAATCAATAAACAGATTGAAAAATAGGTGAAATGTCATTAATATACAAACAAAAATTATTGAAGAAAAATAATAAAGACGTAAATTGAAATACTTATAAAAGAATTTCAAATCAAGTTGTCTCGATTGTTAGTATCCACAAACGTCTTCGGGTGAAAAATGGTATATTACTGACACTACGAGACCATGGGTTACTTGGAAGCTTTTCCCCTCTCAATTAGACGTTTCCATGTATTGTGGATCTCCATACTAGCACAGCTGAATGCGTTGTCATTTAACATGTATTGCTTTGAACTTTGTCTCAAACCAGTTTTCCTTCTAGATGTAGATGATTTCAGCTTCAGACTACCATATTCTGGTGGTGGAATAACTCCGCCATCCGATTTTCTGTTTCTTCTTGCTACGTTTGTGTCTTTGTGCTCGTCAATATGAACTTCAAACGGCGTTTTGGTTTGACCCATACAGGCCTGGCTGCACTTACATGGAATCTGGTACATATAATTCTTAGAGTCGCCGTCCGCGTTTGGTGACGGTTTTCGTGAGTCTGCTACGGATGGTGTTCTCGGGTCTGAAGGTTTCAGTTCTGTACTTAGATCCAACTCTTCTCATCCTATCCAGCAATTCCCGGTTGTGACAGTTTCTTTAAGGACTCTTGTCGTCTGGACACATTCTATTCCACCATCTTTTCAGAGTAACCATTAAAAATCTTTCCTGATGTGACCCAATTCTTTGTCAAGACCTCTCTTCGTGTTACACCATGCACGATCAGTAAGTGTCCTAACGATTCTGGTAGATTGGCGGTGGCTGGATTCGTAATTCAGATACCGTATGTGAGTTGATTGTTTCTTATATGCTATCGGTCCTTTTTGCCATTACGTGTAAAAACGGCAATTAATTTTGGACTTTCTTCTCCATCGAGATTGTTATGGAAGGTTTCACGCTGTTAAGATGCTACAAAAAGGTGCCCAGGTCCGTGTCTCAGTGGTTCCCATACTATAATGGTGTTGTCAATGTATCTCCTGACTCGAAGCTTCTTCTGGTCTTCTTCAGTGGCCAACGTTTCAAACCATTCCATGTATATTTTGGCTGATGAAAGAGACGATTTTATCGGAAGAGACGATTTAATTGGAGGTGACGATCCTATTGATGCTTCAGTTCAAAACGATTCCGGACATTCTAGTAATTTCATGATTGCTCCTGTTGATAACTTTGCTCTGGCTCCCAGGTTCTCGTCTTCGGATAACTTTTTCTGTATGACCTCAAGTGCTTCTTTGACAAAAAGAAAAAATGAAGGTCTGTTCTAGTTTTCTTTATACCCAGCACACTCATCATCTGAAGTTTAACCTGAGAGGTACTCCATGACTGGTGATTAAGTTGTACAATAGAGCGTCTGTCATACATTTCGCCTTTTGGTTGGGCAATGTTACTACTTCAGGACTTTTAGAAAAGTAACTCATCGGATACTCACAAAAAGACATTCACTTATATACTTCGATAACCCCTTTTATGAGAATGCCAAAAATTGGGCACTAGTCAATATTTTCTTCAGGGCAATAAATCTCTACTGACAGTCAGGCGACCAAACAAAGGAGGACAAGCCATACAGAGTCTAAAGATATTCCTCATATCGTGCTTGCTCATTGGTTTTGGCTATCTGGCACCACCTTGATTTTCTCTGTATCGTTTCAACTCATTTTGCGGGCATGTTGGAAGAGGCAATATTTCTTGGGACTGATTTGCAAATGAGTATTTCCCAAGCTCATAAAAACACTCCTCAAATTTGACAGATGTTTGATAATGATAATAATAAGAAAAGTATGCTTTATTATCATAAGACATAATCGCCAAAGCTCTTGCCAGCCAGTATAATGTCATCAAGATTTGTGTTCGAAGTCCATATTGTTCATTTTGATTATTTTTATTCATGTTACGGTGAGGTATACAAATAGACATTAACTAGTACTCTTCTTCTTCTTTTGTTCAGTCATAGAGTTGTTTTTCATAGTTATTAACTTAAAGTGAGAAGTGGGGTACAGACAGATACCTACTTTCAGTAATGTCGTACTTAGAATCGGTGTGTATGTCTGAAGGGACTAACGGAAAAGGTGATAGCATTGCCTGAACTTTCAACAAATATCGATTCTATGTGTCAAAGATGAAATTTTGAAAGGATCTTTGAAATGGTCATCAAACCTTTTGTAATCTACGCAGAATCTCGTCGATTCATTTTTTTCCTAGTTTACAACGGTCCGGTAAATCACTACCAGAAGTGAAGTTATATATTTATTAGTATATTTATATCCTTATTTGGTTTTCTAGGAGAATGACATGACCCCTGAAATGCTCAACCTACACCAGTTCATTTCTGAGTTAGAAGTGGCAGAAGAGAATATGCTTGACAACCATAAACAAACTATAGAAGAGATGCAAGGTGCTCACCAAAAAGCAGTTGAATTGTTGCGAATGGCTGAAACTGTGGCATATGACCAAGAAGGTATGATAATGTATATTGTTACATTTTTCGAAGGTTTTTTTAATAAGTGTTGGTACAACAAATTAAAACAGATTCATTTCACAGCATCGTGATTGACGTTAGCCTCATGGCAATAGCACAACTTATATTTTTCGTTCAGTTGGAAATTTTCAGATATGTTTGTATTGAGGCATTCATGTTATATAAGTGCCATGTTAGTTTGAAAAGACTTTCAATCAACGGTTGCATAGATTTTCATTGAATCTATGATTTTTTTATTCATGAAGTTGTGAAGGCAAGTACTTAAATTTAGGTATCCAAATCAGTACGAAAAAAATGAGAAGTGTGTTTTTATCATTTGAGGTAACTGCATTTTTTCATTTTTTTCACTCTAACTTTCTACTTAACCTAGTTTGTTGATGACCATTTTTATATCGTCTTAGTTTTGTTAAGAAAATTTATAATCTTTTGTGTAGAGTAAATTTGTTTTTTCTGTTGTTCATTCTCAAGAAGTTTCCTTAACCAATTCAGTGAGTTGAGTGGAAGAGCAGACTTTGCCTTTTTCTCCACAGGTTTAATGTGAGTTAAATAAACAGGGAAATAATTAGGGAATCGTGTGCTCTGAGTAGACGCAATGAGCCTAGGACAGCCTTCTGCATTCAATAATTATATAATAATAAGGTATTAATTGTGTCATGAATTACAAAATTACATACAAAGGGACCAAGTACATTTAAATTGATATCCACCAAACTTAAAAAATAGGTAAAAAACACAAACAAACTGATAGCATTAAAATGTGATAAAAATCATTTTTTGAGACACNTGATTTCAAGCAAAAACAATACAGAGGAAAAATCACTAAAATTCCTTGGAATACATCTGGACTCAAAACTAAATTGGAAGGTACAAATAAGCAAAATGAGTAAGAAGCTTAATTCAGCAATATATTGTATAAGGAGAATGAAAACAATTTCAACACATCAAGCGGCTAAAATAACCTATTTTTCAAACTTTCACAGCATAGCAACTTACGGAATCCTTTTGTGGGGCACAAGTTCTGATTCAAACAAAATATTTGTTCAGCAAAAAAAAGCCATCAGAATTCTATGCGGACTTGCATATAGAGATAGCTGCAAAGAGGCTTTTCGTCAACATAGAATCCTCACCATTCCCAGTGCATATATATATAGTTGTCTAAAATATGTTCACGCAAATCCAGAGATGTTCTCAAAAAATGTACTCAATCATTCTTATGATACCAGAAATAAAGATTTACTGCAAGTTCCTCTTCATCGATTGAAGAAAACACAGCAAGGATGCGATTATTGGGGCGCAAAATTATATAATAAAATTCCAGACTATGCAAAAAAGAAACACTCGAATGAATTCTCCATCTGGCTGAAAAATGTCCTAATAGAAAAATGTTTCTATTCAATAGAAGATTTTATAAATGAATAATACATGTACTACATCTCTTGTAGGTTTACATGTGCATGATAATTTTGTATATATTTATTTTTTGATCTGTGCATCTCTGTGTATATGTATTTTAATTTTAATACTAAGGAAATAACGACGTTGTAATGTTTCATTTACAATGAATAAATTGATTGATTGACTGATTGATTGATTGATTGAACTCACAAGGACTCGTCGAACGTCATCTGAGGTTATCGAGTTGAACAATTCATTGTGCTCAGGCTGTCAAAGTTCTTTATAGGAAGCTTCGAACTGCGCTAGAGCTTCAATGTCAAGGTTCAGCGGTCGGCGAATTATCCACAATACGTGGAAGCTCTTGGACAGAGACCATCACACATTGAATACAGGATACGTGTTGTCTCGTCGACCTAATCTTGGTTCTTGACTTGCGTAATGAATGTCATTCAAATTACCGAACGGAAGAGGCAGAATTCCACCTTCCTGAATAGGAAAGTGTTTGAACGGCGTTTTTAGTTTGACAAACGTCAGCGTCTTCTGTGAGATTAGGTATCATGAAATAATGCATTCAAACGAGTCAATTATTGTGGCCCCAGGAACTTTTTCCTATGGATCGCTCTACATGTTCTGATTGTTACGACTGGTGGAATGATTTGTCTCTTCTTCAGCCATGCCAACGGATGTAGAACTGCCACTCCTACTAGTTTGTTAACAGGTGCTACTAGTAGGTGCAGTATTCCTTGATCTACAGAGGGCTTTTGAGACTGTGGATAGAAATAGATTAGTGCTAAAGATGGAAAGTATCGGTATTGTGGGTAAAGCATTGAAATGGTTTGCAAATTATCTAGATAATAGAAAACAAAAGTTGCTTCTGAATAACATGGAATCCGACGAAATAGAAAATAAATTTGGGGTGTCACAAGGTAGTATTATCGCCCCTTCACTCTTCCTTATTTATATAGATTATATAGTAGGAGAGGCTGGAATGTGTGAAATCCACTTATTTGCAGACGACACCCTCATCTATTTTTCTTCCACAACCATGGAATTTTGACGGAAACAATAAACTCTACAATAAATTGTATTCATAAATGGTGTTGCAGTAATTTGCTTAAAATAAATGAAAATAAAAGAAAATGTATGCTCATTGCAAGAGAAAACCAGATTGAACCACTGCCAAGCCAGTATTAGGAAATCAAATTGCGGGAACCCAATCGAACAAGTGAAAAAAATCAAATACTTGGGTATTATTGTTGACTATGGACTAACGTTTAAAGATCATGCAAACTATATTTTAAAAACTATTTCTTCTAAAGTAAACTTTTTATTCAGATGTTCAAGATACCTTAATGCATGGACAAAAACGGTGATATACAATAGTATTATACTTCCCCATTTGAACTATTGCTCCACTATTTTATACCTACTGAACCAAAACCAAATTAACAGGTTCCAAAAA